CAAACGTATTCATGTGTTACTGTCACAACAATTACACACATTACAAAGTGTAACACTTGAAGTGTAACCAATGTGTCATTACGTTTTTTAGCGTTTTGATTATGGGTTGCAATTAATTTAGTTTTATCCAATTTATACAGAGGCTCTGACTGAAATTAAAAGGAATTTGGAAGGTATGCACGCTCTGATGTAAAATGATTTGCTATGAATAAATGAATCATCATTTCGTTTTGCGCTTCATATTAAAATAAACTATGAGCACAAATGTTTGCTGGTCACCAAAAGCTGTAGAACAGATATAGAAATTCTTAAAATTTCAGAGTTTGCACCCTAATATTTCACTGTGATATTTGTTTTGTTGCACAACAAATTTGTTCCACAATTTATCTTTGCCCACCATTACTGGTGGTGTTTAAATTGTGCTCACATATTACTTATTTTAGTCGCCCTTCAGTGAACGACGAAAAGACGTATAGAAGTTCATTATTAATTGTAACTGAATCGCACATTGAATACCGAGTACGCACTGGAAACTTTTACAGTAAGATACCCAAAGCAGTCGGAGAAGCATGTAGGGTGTAAAGGCACTGGTTTAGGGAGGTTGATTATTTCTTACTTATACAAATTTACCTGATAATTGTCTTTGATATTTTGTGGAAGATAAAACTATGAGAAGATAGCTTGCTTATGTGAGGTGATGGAAACCCGTATAAATTGATCCCTTGATGCTCGCGAGCGTTTGGTTTTCCTGTCTTGTCTGCAGGCGCTGAGGAGGGAACAAAAGCAAAATTATCAGGTACCGTCTCCTTATATAATAAGCCTGAACATTAATTCTGTGTCATAAGTTAGTCATTGAAATAAATAATAGTAGTAACACTATAGTGACAGAAAACTACGGACTCGTCCTGCCCTGTTTCATCACACCATTAAAGACATTACCACTTAACACAGCAGTTTAGAACATCTTCCATCCCAAATGATTTTTAAGACGTTCTGAAGGACTTAAGACCTACTTAACGAAAGCGTGTGCATGCGGAAAGCCTGTGATGGTGGCGCTATGTGGCCGGTTCCATGGAAGCGTGGTAAGCTGGGGCTGGGTTGACAGCATTCTGGCTGGAAAAATAAAAGGCGAAATGAAAGCAATGTGAAACCCTTGTGCCTATAGCTGTGTTCATGAAAATTCGAGGTTATTGCAATTTTGCCGATGCTCCCACGTCAGATGCACTTTACAAATAGTGCATACCTGTTCCCGAAATACACCAAATTTGGGCATACATCTTACCAGCAAAATCGTTTGACATCACAAATGAAACTCATTTTGCTTTGACGAAATTATCATCTTGAATACCGTATGATATGTAAGAAAGTATTTATCAGTTCTGGCTCAACCGGATGATTTTGGAAAACCTGAGTTTTTTTGTTGCCTAATGGACTACGTCAAACACACAAAAGTTGACAAGGAATTTCTGGTTGGTGGATGCTCAGATGTACCAGAATCGTAACGCTTAAGAAAAACACAATGACCTGTCCTACGCGACAGTTGAATGTGCAGCGAAATAAAACTAATATAGATAACATATATATATAAAGATTAATATAGATAAATTTCGTAAATTTCTTATGAATGTATGCCTATTTCAAACCTATTGCAAACCTACGTGAAATAATATTTCATCGCTTTTTATGTTTTTGAAAGAACTTTTACGAAATGCATTGCAACAACTCAAAGGTGAGATCTGATTTCGCTTCCACTGATTCGTACGTTATAAAAGTTAGAACATATTTAACTTGTATAGTTAAGCCATATTTATACTCCAGAGATCGGCCTCTGTCGACTCCGGTCATTCGTTATATAGTTTATAGACACATCAAAAGACGTTTAAATTATTACAGCTACGGTTTGCAACAAAAGGCACTTTTATGGACGTTAAGACAACGAATATGACCTGCGCATGTTAGTGCAATATTCAGTTCAACAGCAGTTTTATGAAACGCCGCAAAATAATTTTGGCACAAGAATTTGTAGCTTGATGCAGTGAGGGATAGCAACCAGTTAAATACGACGAACAGTGTAGATTGTAGCTTGTAGAAATAGAAGGAATTGTTAGTGAAACCATCGCATAAGCTTGGTGGTGATGTACAATCACATTCAAACTGGACATTCAAAAACATGTCACGCACCAGACTTTAAAAGTCTTATACCCGTCACGGAGTGAACTTTTAATCATAGATTGTCGCATTTGCGCATTTGAACGTTATGCATTTTCGGCCCTCGAACCGCGTTTTTGTCGAGTGAAGCTTATCGGACCAGGGAAGTAATGATGGTATTCCCGGGTTTAAAAATGAATGATTCGTTTATGAGTAGTTTGCGGTGTGCCTTCTCAGATGTCGGGCGAGCAAATAGACAAGCAATAAACCTTCTATTGGAAAATTATATAGGCCAATTAAGGGACATGCGACCAGCTTGACCTTATGTGAGGCTCACATTCCACATTTCGAATAAATATCGGCACATACATCATTTTGTATAAACCAAAAGTTAAATCTAAATCCAATCCCATGTTGTTTACATGCAACCATTAGTTCGCTTCTACAGCAAAAGCAGTTCTAGTATTTTTACAACGCTGGCTGCTAATTATACAGAGGATTGTTCGCTGTTTTTGAGCATCTCATCTGCAACAAAATGTGAAATGCATTCATGAAGTACCATCAAACACTTGAGCATTCACAGCAGTGAAGTTTTGCGGCTAACACAAAATAAATGGTCCACGCTCTATTTACGTTATGAAACATCACGGAGGACATTTTTTGGATTCTGTATTTGTATTTCTATTCTATTTAATTCTGTGCTGGTACTAATTGCACTGTTGTGCACGTGAATGCAGTTTTGAAAACGTGCTTTTATTCTTAATCAATAGTGTGTGAATAGTTGTCATGTCACTACCTTTAGACGTCGCCGCTAATACTTTATGAAACATCAATGTTTCGATCGCATTAGGCAAAGACCGTATGCCCTAGGCAATATAACATGCATATATCCATTTTATAAAAATTTGCTTCTCAAACACCGAGCCCAAATATTTCAGCTGCGTGATTTTATTGCCACATGGCAATACATAAGGCATAAGTTAAGCTTATTTGTCCGGTAACACCCAACTATTTGACAAACATCAGTGAAAATAGCTGCTACATCTTGCCACAAAAAGTCTGTTTTATTTAACAATTGAACTCCGTCGTATTTTAATAGCCAAAGTGTGTCAAGATCTGACCCCTCTACTCAACTGCGTGTTGTCACCAGCCAAGTTGCCTCATAAACAGGGGGTTACCCCACAAATACTTCTGGAAAGCAATTTAGCCACCTTCGTTGTGTGTTGCCTCATAAACAGGGGGTTACCCCACAAATACTTCTGGAAAGCAATTTAGCCACCTTCGTTGTGTATCCTTAATTTTACGGATATGCTGTTACGTGGTATTAATCACCGGTGAGTTTGCAGTGGGTCATTGTAAGGTAGTGTAGTTGCTTGCTGTTGAAACCACTAGATGCATACCTGAAGAGGCAGTAGGAACTAAGAGAGCAAGCAGATCCGAGTGAATATTTCCAAAAATCATAAGCACCATTGGCGGCTTTTGAAGCATTATATATCATGCTAAGTTTTTCTGTGTTGAAATAGGGATATTTTGCGTTCAATGTTGGGCTTTAATACTGAGTGCAATTTTTGCTGCGTGTGATTAATGTCCCACAGAAGAAATATCAACATATTTGTTCAAACTCATCAGTGAGTGTCTTTTCGTCGTTTGTACTTTTTCGGATTTGTCAACCGGCCAATTTATAGATTTCGGTTAAATCACTATTCCTGAGCTACCATGTGTAGTTCAGACCGCCTTGTTGAATTGTTTACTGTGGCAGTCTGTTAACAATAACCGTAACCCTGTAGACAGTTTGCACACCTAGAGCCTTTCAAATAGAATTATGGTGGCGTTATTGACACAGCCATGTGCAATGTGGGGTCTCCGATTGTTTCCTTGCACCTTTTACAAAACTACCGTTTACCTGTTTGTCTATGTTGATACGCCGGAACAATTCAAATTCCTTGAGAATGAACCAATTTACAGTTAGCATAAGATCTTCAAAAATGGACAGGCAACTGGAATGTGCGCTATATTTTGTTTCGAAAATATTTCCTCATAATACAACAGATCTTTTTCACAAAGTAGAAATGATATTGGATAAGCTGCTAATTGGTTATTGTCGGGCTTCTGCAGGTACAATTACGGAGAAAATATCATCACTTGAAGGTACGCTTATGCTTTTGGACCACATGTTTGTGATTCATTTCGTAAATGCAATTTTTTTGTGATAACTCTAAGTTAATTACACTTGCAAAAAATGTACGAAACAAAAACAAAATCCCGCGGCAATTCACCATTTAAAGATTTGGAAGCAGTTTGCGTTACGTATCTTTTGAAGAAAATATACTCCCATGATGTAGGAATTCTGTAAATTTCATAGTTTTATATCTTCACTCTTCGGGGCATCTCTGACGTGATTGCGCGCCAATCTATTTTCCTGAAGGTACCAAAAGTCCTACCGCATTTTTCACCAACCCAAAATCAACTATAAAATTAATTTCATCACATTGTGTTTATACAGTCGTGATATATTCAAAAGCTATGATAACTTTCCTCAACAAAGGGGAGCGAGGTGTTTGCACCACATTCAGCAGCAGTTGCAACTGCTGTCAAATATTTTTTGGGGGAGGTTTTTGCACAAAAGTGTTCATGGACATCAACTCAATATCAGCGTCAAGTCGAAATATGTAAATTTGCTCCAAATGTAAAATATTTTGCCATTTCAATGACATTGTTGTTTTACTCTTTATTTTTTTGATGCATGCTTTCTTCAAAAACATTTACAGAAAACCAGCCACAAGCTCAAGGAGTAGCAGCACGTAAGGTTTCACTGTACACTATTCCAAATTGCCGTGGCCCCGAAACTTAGTGTGTAGCAGCAATTCTGATAAAAGTAAAACATTCACGTTCATGCAGGTTTCCGAGGATTAGTTCTGTGATAACTCCCTGCATCTTCATGTGTGATTAATGTAGTCGATAGTTGTACCTAGTATGCCATACTTAGGTCTGAGGTTCGACAACTTACATTATATAGCCTTCATTCAAAGCGTCATTTAACTTTTCCGAATGGCTCCATTTATAAAGTGGTTTTTCAAGCCTATCGTAGTTTGTCCGTTTTATATGGATATCAAATACTGCAAACGATATTTTCACCTGGAAACTGAAAATATCCTTCTTATTACATTCAGAAACTTAATGCAGGACCTCCTTAATCTGGTGTTTAATCCAGATAGTGATTTCCACTAGGCAGTGCGGTAAAGTATGCACACTCACCAGGGTACTCGCGGCCAAAAAAGTGTATTTTTTTATAAGCAGCCTTTTACACCTGCACAAAAGCTACATAGCTATATTGACAACTTGCATTATCCGGCCATTTTGTACTGGGTGCGAGCGTGTGGATGTCTCCCTATATGTGCACAAAAAACTGTAATAACCGCGTACATATGTTGTTGCTGAAAGTTATCTTGAACTGTGCAATTTTGTGATTATCAACGTTGAATGTTTGCGCGAAATCAGGCCACATTCCAAAGCATGTGTAAATAAACATGCATGAAAAAGAATGATCATAGAGTTTTTTTCGAAGAAAACGCAACAAAGGCGTGATGACTTTGGTTTTAATCCGAAAACAGTAGCATTTTAACCGGAATGGGTACTTCAAATACATTATTTGGAGGGATCACTACATTTCCTGACACAAATATTTTATGATGGTGACTGGCTCCCGGAGGGATATAAATAATGCAAAACAGCACAGCGTTCATTATGATGAACATCGCATACTTTAAAAAATACACCAGTGAGTTTTGATATTTCAGAGCACGGCACAGAGGCTTTGTAGCGCAAATGCATGTTGTTTCAGCCCTGCACCAAAAGTTCAAACAAACTATGACACATAGCAAACACTCAAAGTGAAAATGCTCTCCTCACAATGAGGCTTGTACTGCTACAAAAGTGCGCAATTTTGCAACGGAATTTGTGCTAACCTCATATCTAACGACCTCCATTTTTTTCGCAAACATCAGTTTTCTTCTTAGAAAAACTACAACAAATCAAAAGTATGCATTTTATACGCGTTATGTATGGTCTGCTTTACTTAATAAACAATAGTAGTCATAATGTATGTCGGAAACAAATAAAAATATAATCACAGATATACCAATAGGAATTGAAACTGTAAACAATCGTTCACTTCATCTTGATCTGAAACAGCCTTCGCAGGTGTCAGCTCTATGCGTATTCAGGCCAATCTGGAATCTGAGTTGAGAATAATCTGAAGCTTGCCTACTCTCCAATACACGAACGTGGATAATTTGAGTCCCGTTTTGGGATATCAAACGTCCGGTTTTATTACGTTCTTTGATGGTTATTTGCTTACGCGGCACTTGTATTGTCCCGCTTTTGTAACTTTTGGCGTACCTCTACTTGAATTCGAATCTATGTATTCCCATCCACGCAGCATACTTGGATGGACAATGGCCGAAATTAAAAGGTATAGCACAGTCTTCGTTTCATGACTAGTTATTTTTACAACCCATTATCTTCTTCGACGAGAGGCTGAACATCTTTAAAGATTAGGTATTGATTCTCCTGCTTTTGTAATCAAAAAGATAACATTAGATTGAGCATTAAATAAGTTCGGTAATTAGTGGCTATCCTAATATCATTTGCTAATTTTGGAGCTGGATTCAAATACTTTTTTCTGTAATATTGGAACAAGTTTTTTCAAACAAGTCAAAATCAGTCACTAGCTGCTTGACCACATGTTCGTAATGGTCACGCGCAGAACCAAATGGGCTTTACTTAAACGCGAACAAATTAAAAAATTCTATCTATTTTTGTGTTTTTAGACCGAACCGTTTCATTAGCTTGATTTCTACCTGCGGCAAAAAAATTATTGCAAAGAGTTCCCATGAAAAATACCCATAATAACCCCCGAGTTAGCCTGTTGCAATGCAACCATCAAAACTATTAAGGAACCATTCCCCATAATTGCTGCTGGAGCGCTTAACAAACACAAGCTGTTGTTTTTGGATTTCGGACTTTTGCTCGAGAATAACTTTACGTCTCCACTAAATTTCGGTCGTGTGAGATTTGTCTCCGGGTTGAAGAGAACTTCATAGTCTCCATTTACCTTATTATTTTGGGAGAAAGCAGAAAAAGTGTGTGGCACGTTCGGAGGAGCTACAAGTCCCACATTTTTGTGGTCGCACTTTATGTCCACGTATATGGATGATTTTATTCTAAGCTGTACTTACTCATGTTTTCATCTTTTTAGTTTTAACATGCAGTTCTGACAAAGTTTCCAAAATCATCAATTATGGCTCCAAATTCCCCCAAAATGTCAATTAGAACTTGAATATATCGGCGATAGGTGCGCTGGCAGAATACCCCTGCGACATACAAAAAATGACGTTAGATTTCATAATATTTTCCGGTTTACAAGCGCCATTTGTTTCATGATCTATTCATAGCTCCCCTGGCATATTAGAGGGTTATTCGGATTATTCGGATTATTCGGATTATCCGGATTATTCGTCAAAAATGCGAACCATCACGTAAATGCCAAAAATTATACTTTATATTCTTCTTTCATCTGCAGCTGCTTTGGAGGAGTTGAACGAAAAATTAAAAGGTAAAGCCTCCTCGTATATTATTGCACGATTTCCTCACAAAATAATGGCTTAGATTTTTCTACAGATGTTGCTTAAAAATAAAATTACATTGTCCAGGTTGATGCACTGTTGATCGCACTTATAGGCAAACACGGTCATTTGTTTGAAAGCAAAATGACCCACAATAAATACGTTTTTTATTCTGGTTGAGCAAACCAAACAGCGCTGTTGCCTAGTTGTACGTGCAGGGAAAAACGCCTTTGGTCCAAAGGACGCAGAGAATATTGACTACTCCCCGCGTGTTAGCGTGAAGTCTAAATGGTCGGTTGAGAGCTACATTGTATGGATAAGGCAGTGCAATCTGTGCCAGTAAGTGTTAGTTTAGGGTGTAAAGCATAATGGGAAATACGCATGTGATTGCGCATTACGCCTGCAACAAATATTGTTGTCAGCGGTGATATAATTTGAGTTTGAAATGAATAAGTAGTTATTTGTGCCACGAATTTTCTGTAGAATAAAGTTTGAAATAAGCATCGGTTTAGGTAAAAATATAAATTTCTTTGAATGCAGTCTCTTGATTTACGGGTTGTGTATTATGGTTTGAAGTTTATTCAGAAGAGATGCAAGAATGCCTATTATACAAATATCCATATAAAGCTCATAGCGAGCTTCAATATGAAAATATTATTAATATGTCATTACTTTCGCTCCTGTCCAATCTCAAGTGGCTTAAAGATCCCGACACGCATTTTTACTTCTCTACAAGCGTTTGCTGGCCTTCCCACATAACGTCAAATTCTGCCATGGGTGCGATTTGTGTACAAAATGCACCGACATTGCACAAGCATTTGAGAATCAAGAAATTTTGCTACCTGATCTTCCGAAATTTGCCCCAAATGCCATTTTTATGCGTAATATTTGCCTTTTGACGTCACATGAGGACAAGTAAATGGGCACAAACTATTATTGTTATATGTAACGTTACAAAGTGGAATGCATCACACTGAGCGTGAACTAGCTCTAAAGATTTTGTAGCAACCATTTTTCCGAGAACACTCAATTTTGAAATTTGCGTTGCAGACTAGTGACACGCCCAAAAGTTTGGTGCGCAAGCGGTGGAGTTGGATGAAATTTAGAAGGAGCACAAAATATCTACTCCGCATCGGAATGATGTAGTTAGTGATAACGTAATAAGATTTACGACATAAATAACCAAATTCGTCTAAACAAATAATAAAAAAATTGAAGTATATAAAAAGCAAAAGGTAAAATAATTCGGCAGTTTAAAACTCAGCTACAAATTGCTTGTGGAAAATCTTTTGTAGCTCAAACGAACGCCTGCGTTGATTGGTCACCACGAAAGAGGAACGGATGGTATTTCGTAAATATCTATGCAGACTTCTTAGGCGTGAACGCAAATTCTCTCTCAAGCACACTGTGTATAAAATGACTAAAAATAATACATCATGTTTCGATGTGCAGGACGCAATTCTGAATGTACGTTTTTCAATAACCATCCGGCATTTTCCAATTATCCGCAGCTGCAAAGGACGGTACACACACGTTCTTAGGAAGTACGTCCACTTTCACCGCCTTATCCTGGAAGCCAATGTAAAAATCCATGTATCGGACATTTGTCCGATGTTTGTCAATTGATTAGTTGCGAGTGTTACCCTTGAAAATGTAATCCATTACAGCAAAGCCATACTGGTTGCAGACAACAGAATATCTCCGTGCACAAATTAATGTCATATGACACGTTTAACTGCATAGAGTAGACGAACTTGCATAGATTCCCTGGCCACTCATATGTTAGGGCAGGCATTTTTTATTAATGCAGCGGCGTTATTCTCAGGCGCATTCAAGAGCTTTCATTTTTTGTCGATTTGCTGTAATTTTCGGCACTCTAGTTGGTTTCCGGATGCGTGAAGTGCACTTCCCGAAGGAGCCGTATTTGGCGTGCCACGTGTTGCAAATTTTCAAATTTCCCGACTGACCCGACGGGGAAGATCTCTTGGAATATCTCCATCCCGCGTTGTGCAGAGGAGTGCATGTGGATGTTCAATCTACAAAGCATAGTACAGCCAATAAACCAAAGGACATGCNGCAGAGGAGTCATGTGGATGTTCAATCTACAAAGCATAGTACAGCCAATAAACCAAAGGACATGCGGATACTCTATAGAAGGTTGAAAATGAGAAACCATTTCAACTCTGATAATAGGCCGAACACATGTTATAAGCGAAGAGATCGGTTACGCAATGGAAAATAGATATCTGTTTTGGTTTGTGGTGAGCGTAAGCTTCAAGGATTCAAACACCCTTTGTAAACTATTTGTCTGAGGGCAACTTTCATTTAGTGGAACCAATTGGGCAAGCGTGGATTTTCGTTTTGATACACGCGATACATTACAGCGCTATACATATGTTTTCTCTTTTGACTCGTTCGCCACCACATCAGTTTTTTACTATAATTGCGCCAAGTTCTTTCTAAAACCGGAGAACGTAAACAGACTCAATACCGAACTTTTCACAAGTATTCATTTGCGTTTAATTGGATATCTTGCATTTATCCGCGTTTGACTACACGTGATGTTGCTGTTACACAAGCAACTAACAATTACCAGTTAACTGGAGCTATCTAAGTAGAGGATAACGCACAGCATACTCTGCTGCATGCGCAATACCCTATTATCAACAGACTGAAACAAAACAAGTTTGTTAAAAATATGGACGTAGCATGATAAATTTGCACATTAGTTTTGAACCGACACATTAACCAGCTTGAATCTTTTCCCTAGGTAGCTTTATTATAATTTTAGAATCACAAGGACAATGGAATAAAATTATCCAGGAGGTTCACTTTACCGGAAAAAATTGACATATGCAAAAATAGTTAAAATACGACAAAATTGAGTTTTCTTGGCTGACAAAGCACGCTAGTCAACATGAATTTTTGTACTTGGTCCATCCACCTTACATTGTGAAATAGGGCATCAAAATTGCTTTCGAATCGGAATCCGATTTTCGCTGAATTCAAAGAAACTCTAACGCTTGTCGCCTAATCCTGCGCAGATATGAAACAGCTCTTAATCTGGCGGTTGCAACCACACTGGTTCCAACACAATCATTTGTAAATCACGTCGCAACGGGAAAATATACCAACTAATATAACTAATATCCACAGTTTGCAATCATTTGCATAATAGAGATGGCTGTCCATATTGTGTCCTGTGAGGAGCTCTATAGCGAGTTGTATACACGTTTGCTCGGAGCGATAGATAAATTGAAATGTGAAAGTCAGCATACACGCACGAGATAGCAATCGGCTGGATATAGTAACCGAAAGAAGCGGTAGAGATTCAGCTTTAATTCTGCCACAACCTGACATAGCAAACCTCACACACGGTTAAGACCAGAACGCAAATGTTTTGCACATCCATCAGGTTTAAATGCGGTTTGCTAAAAAGTTATCGTCCGTGTAAAATAGTTTTCAATATTTGACAATTCAAATTTTACAGAGCAACTGAACGCGACATTGTTTGAAACAAAAGGTAAGGTTTACTGTTGTATTTGTTATTAGTTGTTCTTTGAGCAAAAAGTTTTTAACTTGTATAAAATTTTTGTTACTAGCAAAATGATGAATTTTCACGGTAGGAATTCCAAGAGTGCACTCAACCGACTTGCAAAAAATTGTGAAAGCTGAAGCAAAATTTCTCAGTTGCCAAAACTTGTGGAAAACTCTACATATGTCTCAACATGGTTGATGGATACGTACCGCTTTCCTGCGCACTGTACATAGAAAAAACATGTCCTCATGCTCACGCTTTTGCGTGTTTTTCTTTATGCAACATTTAACAAAACGTTTTTGTTTTGGCTGTTCTACTGTCAAATCGTGAACAAAATGAGCTGTTTGTGGATAACGGACGCTAGCGAAATGATCATGGAAACTCAGTTCAAGAAAAGCTAGGGTTCATATCCGCACTACATAATTTTGCCGGGCTTCTAAGTAGAGGTATTTTTTGAATGTGGCATTATTTATTGGATCAACCGGCGTCCGTGTAGAACGAACATATAGCTTTTGTGTTAATTTGTTCGTAACGCTGTCGAGCTTTCTGGTGCAAGTGTGCCAACAATGTTTCCATGATTAATGTGCTAAACCGTGTGAATATTGGTATGAATTATTTAGTGTTCACTGGTGCCCACTCGCTAAGTTATTTGCAATATACATCACCAAGAAATTAACGTTGCACACCTTGATCTGAATAAATAACCTGCCTGTCACCCCGGTTACCTCACCTGGCTGCCTAACACGGACGTGCGATCTTGAGGGAAAACGAATAACCCCCATACAAAACTTATCTTTAGATTCATGCAATACTCAGTAAAACAGTGAACAATATCTTATAGTTACACAATGATACCCGATGAGCCCCGAGTGAGCAATTCATTCTAATGATTGACAACCAAGCACGAGGCACAGTGGTCACCGTTTTCTTAAGTGAACACATTGATCTTCCGGGTAAATAACAATTGACTGTAGAATACAAACGGACGTCGAGGAAGCCAGCACTCGGGTACATTCTTTTCAAATTTGCATTATACGTTAAATTGTACACTAATTTTCCTTCATATTTTACAGATAAATTTGAAAAGTATCTGGAAGATTTAAAAAGTATGACTTGTTTTCAGAGTTGTATCTAATTTTCTAAATTTCGAAATCACATAAACGTTTTTTCAAACTTCTGATTCGAAACTGACAAACGTAAAATAATATTCTCGCTTGAAATTGAAGTCGGTTCCTTTGTGGATATCTGGTGTACAAAATCCTGCGGTTAAGAGACACGCCAGCTACATGGCTTAAGGTTTCGCCCACAATTAAGCTGGCAAAGTCCTAGCATGTCACAAATGAGGTAAGCATTACTACCGGCAACCTGCAAGCGCGCCGATTGGAGCTGTTCTTTTGTCTTAACCTAGCCAACAGTTTTCGCAGCTTTTGCACGACGTTAGTTTATTTGATTTAATTATTCCCTACGACAGGCGCAGTCCTCATGGGCAAATAACATGTGTCATTGCAACCACGTTAAATTATAAAAAACACGGCTTAAAATTCATTCAAACGCAATAATATGCACGGCACTTTACATTTCAGTAAGATGAACACACATGCAGTTGTTGAAAATGCCATAGTCAGCACTCCTACAACAGGCACTGCACTATTCAACGGAAGATAATTGCCGCAAAAATTCACTTAGGGCGTGCAAACCGGTTCGGCCTTATTGAGAAAAGATTCGGCGTTCCGAAAGAGGTATTCTTGGTTTGTCGTTTCTCGCCAACTCCGATATTGCTAAATTGTGTCGTGCGTACTATTACTCGATGCGAAACGTTTTGCAGCAACCTTATGTATTCTATCACCATAACCACTTTAGATTACAATGTCGGCAGCCCAGGTAGCGTAGATTGTTGTTGGCTTGTTCGCTGAGTGATGTGATTTGACTGTAATTCATCGAACAAACCAGTGACCAAACTGAGCACCTCTTGTGGCAATTTGTTCCACGAACCTCTCAAGTCTGGAATTTAGTAAGGTATCCAGGAAAGAGCATTCACTTGGTGAATGTTTAATATAAAGTTTGTGGTGCACAAAGCCCCATTGAGAACGAATATGGAAAACGTTTGATGCAACAAATTTCCCCGCCTTACTACACAGTCATTATTAGTTTATTTTGAAAACAATAATAAGTGGATTACAACACCGTAATCTTTTAGTTTTTCATTACTTCAGGGATGCTGAGTTTATCTTCAAATGCGGTCATTAGTTAGGTTGAGTGTGTGCTTCGTCATCAACGGGCCTGAAATACATCACATTACAAAATAAACCATAGCGATTTAAGACGGTGCGTTTCTGTGACCTTAAGAGCGGATCGGGATATCGTGTATGGCTGTGTCAAAAATAGAGTGAAGTGGCCACACAAATTCTGTTTTTGCACAAATCATTCTCAAGACTGTTTTCTTTTGTGGACGTCTAACGTATTCCAAAATGCTGCTAATTTTCCTGCTTCGTATGTGGTCAGCGTTTCATATACAGCCTTTCGTATTCGTATCTAGGACGCAGGTCACATTTCAGGGCAAAAAAATCTCTAGTACATAGACGAATTTATTATTCGCGACTTGAATTGGCGTGATTTCCACACAAAATTCGATTCAGAACACGAAATTAAACATGCACACTTTGCACGATTTTTAATTCTAGAATAAGTTTGATGGAGTCACACATAAGTAGACAAACATCAAATGTATAACCATTTAGTTGGTTGCTGTTGGCTTGTATTGTACCAAGATAAATATTGTGAACTATCTAACTCCATTTGGAAAAACTGGTCCATTTTAACACTTTCAGAGCGCGCGGAGAAAAAATTGGCCGAACTGAAAAGTGAGATTTGGTTTCAGTGATGTGATGACAAATTCCCTCTGCTTTGCAAAACATTCCCAAATTCGAGGTTAATCATGATTTTTCGTACATATTGTAAGCGATTCTTAAGGTTGGAATCGGTCGAAAGGAGACTGAAACCCTCAATGTAGAGACAAAGTGTAGAGACAACGCGAAATCCTGGCAGTATAAATTTACTGATTTGCTCACACTTCGAATATATCTTCTCGAAAGATGCTAAGGCTCATTTATTTTTATATTTTTACTTTGTGGTCATATATATAATTCTTCATAAATTGGAAACAAATGGAATAGTCAATTAGTGCAAAGTATAGCCTTGCAACATCCAAATCAATCCTGAAGAGTGTGCAAAGCAGTCAGTGTTCATTTCAACTTATTTCGCCTTCTAGACTTAGCGTTTTGTGATCACTCGAAGCTGTGGTTCAGTTTTGTAAAAACGTAAACTGGTAAATGTGACGCGACCTGCAACTGCATCCCTATTTCACAAATATAATCGCCACATAACAGATGTCACTGTACAAATGCGCGGCGTTATTCCAAATATCCAAGATTTTCTATGGATCAGCTTCCGGTAATACCAGAATGAAATGTGTGTTGCTATGTAAATGACAAGGCTCGTTATTATTGGCCTCATGGTGTTGCTGACTTGACCAAAATGAACATTGGCAAGAGAGGCAACTTCGTGTAGAGCCTTTTCACGTTAGAACACAAAATGTCAATGTATTCACAAACTTTGTATGAATAATTAAGCACCAAACCAAGTCATATTATTTACAATAATCTTTCTGGCTAAGCTGCACGGTATTTGTCCGCCGGCTGCAAATCTGCTCAAAATAGAGCTCTCGCTCGTCCTTCCTAAATTAGTTAGCAACTGCAGTTACTTTCACACGAGAGGCTACAACCTCAGTCACTGGGCATTCGTTTTCCGAGAAAATTTCTAGATATTCCCTAGGGGCGATTCTTCACCCTGTTTGTTTGAACTACTGAGGTTGTATCTGAGTTTAAGTTGCGTGCGTTATTTCATGAATGAGCAAAATCCAAATATTGTTTGGTCATTATGTGCATATTTCTTGTGTATTCGACTAAAAACAAATATATCTGGGATTACATTTCGACTAAATTTCCTGCTAAAATTGCCTAATGTATGCAAAACCTCTTGCAGCTAAACTGACAATAAATACGTTAAATCCCACGGGTATGTTTCTCCGTATAAATATAGGTTTAGCCAATTACTATCTAAAAATAGGTGATAAAAACTGCAAAACAATGTTGTTATTCGTCACCCAGCTTCTGTCGTAATTTTTACTTCGGTATACAATCGGATTACTACCCGTTTGGTGATAAGCCCCTGGCAGCCATCTCGGGGGATATCAGCCGTCGACCCGACTATGATTACTGGTTAGCGATTTTATACTTATTGCCAAGTCGCACACACTTCGCCTCTCTCGCACACACTCCGCCTCTCGTTTGCTATACTCAGCAAGGGGTTTAGCGAAAGCATCCCTGGGATGCAGATAGTATTCTGACATGCAGAAGGCATATCGCAACTGGCGTAACCTTCGAGGTCTGACTACTTAACTTACCGCATTGGAGTTCCTAAATGGAAATCGTTCTAACGCCCCTGATGGTAGATTGCGAGTTTGTGGCACAAGCGGGATCGACAACCTCAGGGCGCAGATGATAATGTTTAGACACTTGTCGACGTCCACGAAGCAAAACAGCTGCGTTTCTGCAGTGTGGGCCGCGTCGCTGCGATGTGATCTGACTGACATACATCAGCACTATAGGTGCCGAAGTTTGGCTAAATTTTACCTACCTTTCTCGTTTCAAGTAGTGAACCAGTCTCTAAATTGTGCACCGAAACCTGTGGAACGACCAAGTTAAACAAACCTTCTCCTACATTATCTGACTGGCCTTCAAGCATGATGGTCGAGTTTGACTTTTCTCAATATGGTGTGAGCACCTTACCTACTGCAGGTGAAAAGCGCATGCCCAACCGTTTACTAGAGATACGTGGGCTATCTAAAATGGTTTTCAGTTTATAGTGACTAAAATATTATATTCAGCATAACCTAGGTCTGTGGAGGAATGTCCAGGATCCACTTCGACATCTGACTTTAAAATCGAAGGCAGTGAACGTTCACACAGCACATCATTGAGAACTTCAAGGAGGAAATATGTGAGAGGCAGGCTTTGTGTTTAACCATTTTAAGGGTGAAAATAGGAGCAATTATTTTGCCCACTTGTGCGCGCTCGGGGAGTTTTGCATATTAGTCCTCAAAACGGACACATGTCATCTCTAGACACAACGGAATTCCGTCAAGATTAACATAGTCAAAAACGTTATTATACAAACAACTAACAAATGGGGAATTTTAAGCAGTGACGCTTTCCAAGCGCAGAATAAAGCCAGAGAGTATCCGATATACAAAGTATACTATGCTAATACGCCAAAGGCTCCTCCGTTATGTTGTTGTTTCGTTGTTTAAAAGTGGGCTGACCGTCAAACAGGACCATCCAGCTGCCATGGAGGCGAGATGGTTCAAACGGTTTGAGAGAGAAATTACTGTCCAAAGGTTTCGTGGGTCGAAATCGACATCTGCATCTCCACCGACCCAGGCTAGGCAACCCAATAGTACCCCAGCCTTCATGCAGACATCGGCTGGCAGGGTAGTTAGGCACCAAAAGTGCCCTTCAGCTGAGCGACTATCCATTTATTATTTTCCTTCTGAAATGTTCGAAATGTTGAAATGTTCTGCACCGCGGGTGTCACACCGTTTAACCAGGCCACATCACATTCAGTGACGGGTGTGGGACACCGGATATATGCGCTAACCCCTTCTTACACCCAGTACTTGGTATGTTATGCTGGGTTCCCATTATTTGTGACCGGTAATAATCCGCGTTTCACTGATGCTCACGGGATTCCTGAAGCAATCGTGTAATAAAGAAACGGTGGAACTGGTGTTGGAATGTCAAGGACACTAATAGGGAGGAAGATGGGGTGGATTATTATGTTTCTTTCTTTCTGCGTGTTGCCTAACCGACTCCCCTCTTCCGTTGACCGGTGGATCAAAAAATCTGCAATATAGTGTCACCGCTGCCAACAGCGAATTCCCTATTCACATCCCTGGCTTCATGCTGTAATCCACGAAAAAAATCCATTTTCTATGAAATGTGCGTGCCCTTTAATTTGCTACTACTTCGATTCTGTTCGAAATAAGTTCTGCCTTATTTGAGGGTATCCATCATTCATCGGGTAAGGTCGGATGCATTGAACGGAAGGATGTTTTGGGCGATTACACCCAAAATCAGAGAGATAATAACGCTCAGCATCCCTGTGAGGTCCCAGCCTTCTAGCGAAGAAAAGCTGCGGTAATCACAAATGCAAAATGAGCCCAGACACGGAAAATACAGTGCAGTGCAAAGTTTGAAATTGTGCGAAATTAATCAATCGGCATGCGAGGTGATAAATGTAACAGCAGTCGCTTCTGTATCACAGAATTGGACCATAGCGCATCCCTTTTTAGTGCCCAATGCGTGCTTCTAAACTGTTGGCTTGCGACAAGTAGCAGCTAAAGCATATTTTCCGGCTTGCTGTTCTCATTCCAGATGCACCAACTACCACAGGTTCAAGCGCATCCAAGTCAAATGCCGATGGTGAGATTCGTTGCATGTAACAACTGCTTCATTCAAAGTTCCATGTGTGGAGGATATATTTGGCTTGGCTTCACTCGTTTTCAGCATCCCGAGAGTGACTGGTCAATATTACCTCTCATGTTCTTATTTTATGCGAGCAAAGTGTTTCCAGACTTAAGCTAGACACAACCTACGCTGCTAATGCGATCCCCGTTTACATCATCAACCACAGCATCAACCTCCAAAGATTCGAGCGGATCCATGTCAAATGATGGTGAGCTTCTCGATTCCCTTAGTTGTTTACCTTTGCTGATTAGCGTGCGCGGTTTTCTCGCAATGAAAATTCAAACATTTCAATGAGTTTAGTTTTCCTCGCATATCTCTCTTTGCTTTGCTCCGAGAGCGGTTTCTTTTGCGAACCGGATATGACATAAGCTAAATATCTGACAGTACCTCAGGCGGAGTATACCAAATTCCGCAGCACCTGTGTACCCTGTAAATACTGCGCTTAAATGGCATCAGTATGCTAATTAGTGAGCATGGGCGAGCCGTCCTGCATATAACAACTGCTTCATTCAAAAGTTTCATGGAGCAGTATACATTATGCTTGGCTTCACTCGTTTTCTGCAACCAGAGGATTACAGACCACAATTGCCTATGATTCTTATTGTGTGCGAGCAGAATATTTCCGGGCGAAGCGCAGACACTCAACCTACGCAACTAACGTGATCTCCAATTACAAGCTATCTATTGCTTTGCATCAAGAGGTCATGGAGCGGAAGGTTTCCCGAGGCAATCTGACTAATAACAGGGAGGAAACATCAGCATTTTTTTGTTTTCTGCCGCGTCAACTTGAAAACCTATGGTAATGGAAAACCAATGTCCGTTGTTTGTTCATCGAAAAGTTTCTCAAGGTTGCCGAAGCGAGCTGATGCCACGTCTGACTGTCTGTCTGTCATGTTATAATGAGTGTGTTATATATATATGTTCACAAATTGGAGATTTGGAAGCGAAACATTGAGTTTTAACGTTACATGACAATGCCTTACTGTATATATCGAAAATTTATGTTCAGTGATTCCGAGTAGTTCAATAGAACCGCAAAGTAAGATCTTGATGCAACCCATTACAAAGTGAATTTAAGATTCTTCAAAATCATATTTTGGTAATAGTGCAGTAATATTTTTATAACTTTCAGCAAAGTTGTGGAATAGATATACTTTAATTCTATGGCCGGTATTGTGACGAAGCTACCGCCCAGATTTTCTGTGGGTAGGACTAGCTGTTCTGTTACATGAGAGGTGTGAATGCCTATGTGACACATTAGCGCAAACAAGGATGCCTAATTCAGAATGCAGACAAAAAGTGTGCTCGGCAACATCTCACTTACATGAGAGGCAAGTAATTTATCATGGAAAATAAGAGATATCTGGCGAATGCGTTAGACTTGATGCTGTTTTAGTTACTACCCGCATTAAGTCACTATATTTAGCAGCATAATTGTATACATGATCAGTTATTACATCTGAAAAATGCTCGACGTGTTGCGCTATGAGCCAGGTAATCACAATGGTTCTATCAGCCTCGACAGCGGAACTGTTCTGTGTACTTAAGCTTATAATACCATAAATGCTTCAGACAATAGTGGAAGGATGTTTTATTATATGTGAGCCCGTTTTCCAAAGGATCTCAAAGAATGTTGCAAATCAAGCACAATCGGATTCACCCTCAAAGCAATCTGTAGAAGCAATCTGTAGTAGTCTGCGAATGGTATCCAGGCTATTTTGGGCGTAAAGTAAACGACCTACATAAGACAGAGGATTGCATGGCATCAATACCTAGAAAAGTATAGTACAGTATATAGAATAAATGATTTTATGTCAGTTAATAAACAGAAGATATTGCTGTAAGAGTGCGATAAACACGACATCGGTATTTTGTTCAACAAATCCACCTGGAGTGCAATTTCAGCAACCGTTAGCCTGTGCTTTGTTATGAGTTTAAAAGAAATATAGTTACTATTCCTCAATTTTCGTCCACAACAACTCATGATATTTCGGATGACTCTGAATCAGGTGGAGTAGGTAAGAATTGTGTTTGGGATTTGCACGCCACCTTCATGATTTTTGTCCAAACGATATTGTAAACGATTTTGTTTACACATAAACATTACCCTCGGGGACCAAAGTGTGAAGGGCGTTTTGCTGAGTATAACTGTGAACTACAAAATATCGACCAAAAATCGAGGAATGTTTTCTGTCTGACAAACTGTGAAATAATACAGGGACGTGAAATCCAGAAGATGATTTGAGGAAATGTCCGAAAATCAAGGCAGATGTTCATTTGGAAGCATACACTATGGCGTATTGGCGTGCACATAAAACAACTGTAGTATCATAGTCAGAACCAAAATGCTCAAGTCGTATATGGAAGGAATTTCCGTTGATATATCTCAACTGAAAACGTTCTGTCCAACTGCCTACGGTTACAGTGTAGTTCGCCGGAGAGATCTCACTAACAGTACTCATTATTGTTGTTTCAATACAACATACAGCATAGTATTTCGCATTGGTCAGCACTGTCATCAATCAATCCGCAACGAAACCATAATGGTATAGCCTTTTCGGATTTATTCATCAGAAAGCTTCAAAAGATTGCTAAATTCCCTCAGGTTAGCGATGCTCCTCAGACAAGCAAAATAAACCATTGGTTAACTGCTTGGTAAATTAAAAATGTACGATCACACAAGCAATAAATTAATAATAATAATAATATCACTTTTGTCCCTACAGGTCTCACAAACCGGCCAACGGCAACGATCTGGATAACTTCAATGCTTTTAATTGCATGGTTCTGCAGGTATGCTTGACGCCGGCAACAGCACTGAGCGTTTACACCCGTTTTTAATTTCTCTTAATCCTTTGAGTGAAAAAAATTGAAAATTCTGTGTTTTGGCCAATTTGACCTAAACAACACGACAACCCGTAGCATTTGCAAGGATTTTGCCGCGGGATGTAGTCCAATATTGTAAGTTTTTTGAGAAAATAGCGCTGCATTGTGGATTTTTGGAGAAAATGGTTATAGATTGATCCCAATTTGGCTACGTTCCCAATTCTTAGATGTAAATATTCATTCGCTGCACTTTTTGGGACACTTCTATTGGACAGAAGATAATTTTTTATGACGGTGCCTAAGCTTCAAGCACGATTTCTGCTTTCTACGGTCTACGTTTTGGTGGCATACATATCAATTAAACAAAGATGAAATTACTAAGCATCTCTTCATGCAAGGGTTTGCTCAGATTTCCCAGTGAGCTGGCACAGATGAGCAAGCGGTCTGTACTCTGATGCTTTCCCAGAGGAGCGGATATGGAATTCTAATTCAAATGAAAATAAAACATAAGCATTACCAGGTATTTTGGAGTTGCTAATCGACTAGTTGTAATGAACGTGTGGTCCAGTGCAGAAGATGAGGGTCCCCATACAGAAAAGTGGCATACGTCTAAGAGATTATTCAAGATTATGCGTGTTTAACAGGCGTTTCTCCTCCAAAACGTTAGCATTACGCCAAAGTTGATAACCAAAATATTTCATTACACACACTTGAAGCGGCACATTCAAAGAGAAGTGCTTATAAATGATTGTGTCACTTACAAGGTACATTTCATTTGAAAAAACAATACTTTCTGTATTTATTCCTGGAAGTAATAGAACACAAATTATTGCAACTTAAACAGATATTAGGCTAATCATAGGTAAATATGCGTAATTAAAATACTTACTCAAATATAGTTGACAATTTTCGAAGCCAGTTTACGAGATCAACAGTTTCGAAATACCACCAACACGACAAGTGACAAGTAGAGTAAAGCATAAGATATTTTGCGCCAACCAACTAAATTTCACAGATGATTTGTTGGAGAAACCAACAGTGAGCAAACAGTCAAACTAGATAATTTTAGTTCTTATGTTTCAGCAAATCGACGAGCATATTTAGTCGCTTTCCGAAGATGGTATCCAAACTCATTTTGCCGAGTAAAAATATACTAAGTTTGGGGGAAAGGCTAAACATAAGTCAGCTGACATTCATGTCTGTGCCCGAGCAGCTAACTTTCATTTGTCGTTATGTTCCAACTCTCATCCATGGGAAACATGAGGTCGGGTAATCCATGAACGTTTATGAGACCTTGTGACAAGTAAAAACCACGTGTGGTATGTAGTTGCAAAACCGTGCGTCATAATTGAGGTTTCCGCCCAAACTTGTTGCTAATAGTTGGTTAATTCGATAATTTTTCACCGCGATTTCTTTTTAAAAACCGTGATTACGATTTATGCAAAAACTTCCTTCCAGAATTCACTGAAATGTTTAGAACCGAAAGAAATATCTCCGCGATACATACTTACAAACTCAGCTCGTTAGCGGGACAAATTTAATATTTTGCATGTATTTCAACAACGTATAAATCGTGCTTTCATGTATTACTGCAAAAATTCAATACAATATATCTGTTTTGTGCCAAATAATAACGTGTTCTGGTAAATCCTTCCATGATTTTAGTTCTTTGAATCCTTGGTCGCACTTCCAGTGTATATTAAGCCAAGATATCTAAAGCATTTATCGTCTTCATTCCCTGCGTATTTATTTGAACCGGTGAAGGAAAATGTTCTCAACGAACCCTGTGTATTCTGCAGAGCAATCTCAAAATGGGAAAGACAAAGATGAAAGGTGATTAATTACTGGTTTTATCAAAATGAATGCAAATTTATGGGTAAAAAAATGATGTATATTACACCTGTCCAATAGATAAGAGCCTTTGTGTTTAATTTCCCGTGGCATAGGAAAAAGTTGAAATTTATGCCAGCGCGGTTCAGTTTTATTTCAGCTGACATATTCCGTGTTATTACTAAGAACGGAGGGACAACTCGTTACCGTTTGGTGAGATTGTACGAGGAATAACGAGTACTTCACACGACACAGCTCGCTACACGATGAACGCACTGTCGTTAAACGTTTGGTCAGTGGTGAGGCTTTTCGTGAACAGTCGGTACATCCACCGTGTCTCAGAAGTACCGTAGCCTACGATCGTTAGTTTGACTTAAGTAAGAAATTCCGAGACTGGCATCACTATACCGTTTTTGCTGGCTACATCCAAAGCCTGTTAACAAACCTATACCGGTATCCGTTTTAACTGGGCCTTCTCTACCCCTCAGTAGAGATCGTGTGGTGAGTTCCACACGTGCAAGTTTTCAATGCACCCATTTTTTATTCAATCTCCTAGAGTATTACTCCCGAAGATTGTCAACAATAATGAATCTGATGGTGCAGCAATCCTTTGACAGTGGGTTGAATGTCGTGTTTCGGTAATTGAAAATCAAAGATTAAAAAGCCTCAAATGAGTCCGGCCAACGTGAAACGCAAATGGCCTTGAGGTTTCCCGAAACGTTTTATTCCATAAATGACAGTGCCTCACTATCTTGCTTTGGTGAGGCGACGATAAACGAGTTTTCGTTTATCGCGAGAACTAAGGACCTGTAAATCAGCCTGTCAGGTTGGGTTGGGTTCACCTTTCCTTTGATTACATAATTTCCGAAAGCTAGCACATCTATTTAGACCAGCTTCAATGACATTCAGTTTATCAATTGTTGCACAATCATGTGTCAGGGCGTTTTAGCATCTGCTTGCACTCCGATTTTATTAGAAGTAATTTCAACGCAATAATATATTGCAGGTTACTATTCATTTATCCCAGCTGATACCCCGAAAAGACACCAAATAGATTTGGAAACTGAAAACCACAGCGACAGTCCCGCAAAGACGTATGGGGCACCAATGACCTGCATATCCAGAATGTTCCAGGTAAACGAAGTGACTAAAATTCATTCAAAAGTCCAGACAATTGTTACAATTATTCTACCGAGATACAACCACTTCATGATTGTATGTGGTTAGTTTGCTGATCTAATAATAATTTATTCGTGTTGATTTATGAAGTTTCGTGGCTTTCACTCAGAAGCTTCTGGTATAATCATTATTCATGAGGATTAGTCTACTTCCCGAAGTTTCGGACTTTCAAGACGTTGAAAGCACTAAACGCCCAAGAATTGATTTTGTAGTCAAACTCGATTCTGATTGTCTGCGCACAATCACTGGTATGCAGTGAACCTATATAGAGACTGAATTCGGTTGATCAACCCTAACGATATTTACCTGATTAGAATTCTTCTACTCGCTTAATCTCGTGTAACCTTTCAAGAACATTTTGGTTGTACTGCGAGAAATACGTAGTTTTCCGTACGGAAAATGTTGGAAGCTTAGATGGCATAGATGGTCTTCGGCTCGTTCGCTGAGCAGAAAATTTGATTGCAAACGCTTTGTCGCCATTTTAGTTAACAATAGTGCTCACGGATAAGCACCTGTGCACTTGTCAATAACGCACGGTTAATGTCGACTCGATTAGTGTGGGGCGTTTGCAATCAATTGCGCAACTCAACAAACAACCAAAGACCATCTACGCTACCTTACCTACCGGCATTTACCTCTAAAGTTGGCAACGCCCGCTGGGATCTGGCGATTTGAAAATGAGGCGGGAGTTACATATTTTCATCAAATAATCGACGTTACGGTTTAGATCTATAAAACACTGTCTGGAATGGGCACTCTGTTGATGTTGGTGATTTGAAACAAAGGCTGACATTAGAGTGCACGCGATTCGCCCCCTCCTGTATCACCAGGGATTGTTGGTTCGGAATTCAATGACCACGAAGCCTGATTAGTAGTAGGATTCCTAGAGTCACAGGTCGACGAACTTTATTGAACATGGTTTCCGTATCAAAAGAAAAGGAACTTGGGACAAATAACTGATGCTTACAAAAGTATTAGCATTACGTCAAATCGGAGATCCAAAATATTCGTGCACCAGTCACGAAGTAGTACTCGAAAGGCGGTGGTTATGATTGGATAATGCAGTGAAAATGTAGATTTCACTACGAACATCATCACTCCCTAGGTTTTCTTGGCGCTAATGAAATACAAAATCTTGCAACAGGAGTAGACAAAAGGATAATCATAGGTAACTCTATTCCAAACTTATTTCGTCGGATTTATTTGACAGTACCACAAGCCGGTTAGAGGTATTAACAGTTTACGCAAATCAAATCCCAGACGTAAGTATTGTCGTAGATGCGGGCATCCTCTGGAATTTACATGTGCCACTTGAATTTCAGACGCAATTTGTTGGACAAACATGCAATTTCAAAAAGATGAAAGCCTCCCAGATTTACACCAAGGATAACGTGGATCATTGTATACACGAATGTACTTGCACTTTAACAAATTAGCAAAAATATAAGTGAGCTATCTAAGAGGTAGCGACTGAACTATTTTCAAAGACCAGTGATTCGATAATTTTGGGCAAAGCTGAAAACGTACTTAAAGCTGACATCTTTGCCTTTGTGCGGACAACGGAATATCGTTTAGTGTGGCGCTCTCACCGTATCCCATTGAAATATAATATTTGATGAAACACGGCACGGATAGTTTATGAAGGGTTACACACGATTTCGGCTACTTAATCACGAAATGAGGTACATATTGGCTAGTGGCTTCAACATAAGTTTGGCTTTTACTCAAAATGTTGATTAGAATTTTTTGATCTGCCTACCTAGTCACCTCTAGATGTTCACAAAACAGTGAGTTAGATTTACGCTAAAAATTCTTTTCAGATTTCATTGCAACATTCCGCACCAAAAATAACAGCCCCACGATGGGATACACATAATATCAGCTCATAAACAAAACGCATTTAGTATTTTGCTCGTGGTTTCAACGATTCGTAAAGTGTACTTGTTGTGTTTTAAAGCTAAATGTAAATGCATATTTTCTGGTAAGTAGTGAGTTATTCCTGAAACCTGGACGACGACAACGTTGCGTACTTAGAAGTGCATAGAATTTCCATCAAGGTCTCCACCTAGAAAGGCGCTTCCGTGGCAATAAAAAGGCATGATCGATAAGATTTAAATTAAATTCAGTTGACACCAGTAAAAGGGGAGTGTTTCAGTTGTGCTTTGCGATTGGTGTCGCTGTGCGTTAAGTAATGATCCCTGGAGCCGCCACAGTTCGCGAGAACAATAATGTACCAGCGTTTTAAATTTTATGCCAACAACATTATGGATACACAACCCAGTAGCTTTGGATTTTCTAATAACAATGGTTACCTCCCGCTTGACTTAGAGTCACAATTGCTTACGAGTTTTGTGTGGACATAAATGAGCAATTCCCAGACTAGCCGCAGAACACCCCAGTTGTGTTTTTGAACTCTTGTCCGGTATCAGTTTTCCATGAGTGGCCCACAAGCCCATCATCTCGGTACCGATGTTATCAGAGGTTAGTTATATTTGATCCTAAATTTTTGGGAAAAAATGACAGCCGATTTCCGGCCGCTAGATACAAACGCAACAAGGCCTAATCAAAACCAACACACAGCACACATTAGCTTATTTTGCGCCGTTCAGCATTATCATGGGTTTAAAAACGATCACCTAACTCGTGTTATGCATTAACGTCTGGGCATCTGAATTGTTTATTGGCAAAGCCAAAAGAAGTGTTCATTAAACCACCGTGTCTAGCCAAATTTCACGCGATACTTCAATTTCGCGGGTGGGAATTCTCGTGCTTGTAGTAAACGATTCCAAAGATTTTAGGGCGTCTTTGATTCAACCATCATCTGGTTTGAGATTGTAAGTGAATTTGAAGTCCTATTGCGACACGCCTGAAACATCTGTCTCTCGGGCACGATCCCCGATAGAAATAGTGGAATTTCTCAGGTTAGGCAAAATTTGTCAGAAATCCCCGCCGGATACATTGAGATTCTTTGGAATGTTCGTTTTCAAACCTAAGAAGTCAGCAGAAAGATATTGTTTAATATTATTATGGCGCCCGTCACTCTGCGGCTAAAATTACCTGATTAGTCAGTGGTAAAACCTGTGCAACCCGGGATAAACTTTCACTTTTTTCTTTTCAATAAATCCCTGGCCTCTCGGTTAGATGTTCAAAGAGTAACCCTTGTAACCTGGGAATCTACGCGCTTGATTCACGGTCAACTTTAAGGTGCTTCCTTGATTAATATCAAATTTTTAATTTTTTCGCCAGTTCTTAGAACAAATATAACTGGGCAGTTCAGAGTGCCCTACAATTGTGATGCATGCGAAATCACACTTGTCGATCTTTTGTAAGTAGAAGAATCCCGTTAAGCACTCGTCTTGCGCAGCGCTTGGGCGTGACCCATGGCTGATGAAAAAAACGGAGGACGCATTTGAGTGATAAATCTCGAATGATGGCGATTAATTTAAGTTAATTATGTAATGTGCTCAACACACTTTTATCTGGGTTATATTTTCTCATGGTACATCAGATGTAGAAGGCTGAGGCTCACAGGCCGGAAAAATGAGCGCAATGATTTTGGCAGCTTCCACTGAGTTTCTGAAGCTCTTTCAGGGCATTTAATAGCTAATATAAATAACAAGTCAGATTTGGTTTGTGTGAATGTTGCGTATTTGTACGATGGATCCTTCATTTCAATAACCAAGGATGCACTTTATTAATCCCGCCCTATTACCACCGGACCGGCTAGTGCGCCCTCACTTGATGAATTCAGACCGCAAAAGTGGCGCATGTGGGTCTGAATGTACGATTGGCATAACTTCTGAAAAAACATCCTTTCACGTGTTTTACGCTGTTGCATGGAAATGGCTGCAGTGGTCGCTTTTCACCGAGAAAAGCACCCGATAAATGACAAAAGATTCAGCCAGATTACCAATGGACAAGTTTACCACACAACAACATTGTTAAATGAAGTTACCTTTAGATGAACATACAATCATTTGCTAACTAATTTGGTTATTTCGAGAGACTCACCTGGAACCCAGCTAAATCCCTCGTTTATGATGTTCTCAGGCAACTGAATGTGCTGCATCAGGCCGCCTCATGTTTAAGACGCTACGATATTTGAAATATCACAATGCATGTATATCTTTGTAATGTACTACTCATAAGGTTGCTGAATATCCATCGAGAGCCCACGACCGGTTTCGCCCTTCTTGGGGCTCATTAGGTAGGCGCAGTCCCCGGGTTTCCGTCAACCTTATGTTCTACTTGAAACCAAATTGCACGAAATTAGCGAATATACACTCATTTGCAAACTAATTTGGTTCTTTCGACAGACTCACCTGGAACCCAGCTGAATCTTTCGTTTATGATGTTCTCAGGCAACTGAATGTACTGCACCAGGCCGATTCATGTTTCGGTCGCTACGATATTTGAAAGTGCAAACTTACTCATTCAACGTCTATGGAAAATTCATTCGAAAACACTTGCGCATAGAAAAACCGGGATTGTGGAAATATTTTACAGAGTGGGTTTTTCAAACTCCAGTTTCCTTTTTTCAATCTCCTCGAGTGTCTTCACTTGATGCCATTCCGTACAGTTGGTGAAATGCAATCAGATCGTCATGACATTTGCTTACCGGCAACCGTTCAAAGTCGTTCAAAGTCAGCTCGGCACCTGCTATTACCTCAAACATCATGAAACTGGGGTGGATTTCAATATACTTAAAGAATGTTTAAGAACACTAAATTTAAGCCTGTAATTTTTCGAAACAATGTAGAGGACTGTTGCTATTTTCGGGAGCGTTCTCGTTGTTTTAAATGCAGACGCCTTTACGCTATTCGGACGCCAACTAACTGTGGCGGACAATGGCACAATATACTCCCGCACTGCTTTTAAAAGCGGACTTACTCTATGCCGTCAAGAACTGAGGGCACGAAAAGCAAATCCCATAGCAACATTACAAACACCAACAAATCGGATTGAAGAAACTGACAAAATATTTCAAATACGTGTGTGCTGTACGATGGTACCGCAGAGAGTCCATACGTTTGTAGCATCAAACTGCATCCGTTTAGAAGTTTCACTTACTAACATGAACCGAGCTCATCCATCCATCCAGTTGAAATAAAAAACACGATTTAAAAATCGTCAGGTCTTCCAAGGTTGACTCAATAAATCTCTTTTTAGAAAGTCCACATGAACAGGAGAGCTATGGCTCACCGTTGCACGAACAAACCCTGATTTATGCTATGTCGAACTGCGCGCGGCGACCTTTTTGTAAAATAATTAAATTCCGACCTATTGCGCGTTGTTAAGATGCTTCAGTTTCAGAGGGTTCCGTAAGGAAACGTATGTTTGAGCTTGCTATCCAACCGCCCGTCGACATGGTTTTCATATGCTAAATTAACTTGAAGTTTCTTCCAGAATATCATCCCTTAATAAACATAAGCAATGGTCACTCATTTCATCCTCTACGAAGTTTGGTAGCAACATTGTAACGTTTGTTATCTACAACTCATTTACTCAAGTTTATATCGCAAAGTCGAGATGCAAGATGACCTTGTAAACGTTAGGTGCAAAAAGGACACTAACGACCCGAAAAGTGTATTGGAGACTACGTGGCCATCCCTTTTGCTAGACCATTAATAGACACAACGACGTAACTGACATCAATACCGATTGTTGCGCTCCTCCATCCGTCGCGTTATTCAATGGGACGTGTAGTTCTGCCCCATCTGGCGAGCGCCCACCAGACTATCAGCATCGGTCCAAAGGCAATTGAGCACATTCTGTCATTTTTTCTTTTAGGAAGGTTATTTCTGATATTATTCCCGGTGTGCTCAACTTATTGAGGACATCTTGCAACGTATTTGTGCCTGCGTTAACACATTGAAGACGAAAAAGTTAATTGCCCCTAGCTGTTGTGTTTACTTCAACTGAGTGACGATTTGTTGAGACACAAAATACGAAACTAACAATTTACTTTTCTGCAATTAGAGTTTATGCATTTTTCTTGTGTAGGTACCCGATACGTAGTAGATTGTGCTGTCGGGCGTGTGCCGTGTCGTCTGACTAGGCTGCCTCGGCACAGATCAATTGACTGGATCGAGGCATTATAATTATCCGCAAACACACACCTCAAAATGAAAGAGCAGCTAATTTTATCGGGCGCTTACATATGCTGCGATACCGCGGATATCGCCACAAGTGGAACATAAAGCGGCCTTTAGGCAGCATTTTTTATAATTGGGAAACACAATAAACGAGATATTCCGCTGAGGCGTCCGTGAAAACCAAACTGACTAGGAAAAATATGTATTTGTCGCAGTGTGGGCAACTTCGGACATTCCCCGATGCAGTTTATCTGAGAGTGCTATGTAGAGGTTTCAAACGCTATTTGGCCAATTGGAGCTGTTAGATACCAAGTCGTGATAATGATTCAAGTTGTGAAAATGCACTCACACCTAGCTGGCAACGCGTGATGCTCTGCAGCTGGGATCAACTTTCCGTAGCCGACATTGCAGCTTATTCAGGCCGCGAAAATATACGCGCTTTAATAAATGAGGATCAACCTGGGCGGTGCTCGAAAAAAATCGAGTTTGTAGCTGGCAATTGGTCAGGTGCAGAGTTTCTTCATTATTGTACGACTCAAACTGAATGCACATAAACCCTAGCATGATCGACAGCCGTAAATGAATAAACAAAAAATAGCCCAGGGTTAAATATCAGACAAAATTATGCTGACTAATTACAAAGTTTGAGACTTTTATTTTGAAAACATTAGACTTGACTGTGGTTGTTTTTCTAATCCTGTGACACCAGCAGTCATTCTGCAGCTTTAGAGCCACTCAGTGCGACTAAATTCGTTCCTTGAGGCTCATTGTCCCCATGCGAGGAACTAGACAAATCAAGTCAGCCCCCGCATCAAAGAATGCAATACTAATTATCTGCTGAAAAAGACGATAGACTTCTAAAATTCACGGATCATTTAGCGTAATTCTTTGTGTGAATTGATATTTCAGTTGAGTGATGTTGAATTTTGTCGAGTTGGGTGTTGGTATAAATGCAGACGTCGACAATGGCTGGCTGTCATCGGAAATATTAGACATCACTCGAGAAGTCTTTTCTTTATTAAAAAAACTTGGTGCGCGTCACTTGCTACACGGATCGTTTGAGACTGATTGAAGCGTTGTGTCGTTTTACGCTTTATTGCATTCCACGGGTGAAAGATAACGGGAGTGCATCTTCCTCGTCCCATTTGCTTGACCGCATATTCGGTCCAAAATGAGCACCTGTGAAGCAAACTGGAATAAAAGGAAAAGATAATTGTATAAACGAGTAACGAAGGATGAACAACGTAGCGTAGAATGTTATCACACAAAGGGATAGCCTCGGAATCAAATCATGATACTTCTTACACCTTGTGCGGAAGTGAGCAAATTCATTCCTTGAGGCTTACTGTCACCGAGCCGGAGATAAGCACACACATCAAAGAGCATTTGTGCATGGAGGCTTCTGTTATTAGACAAACAACAACCAACTGAGGGTATTGTAAGCAATGGCTCGTTTGCAGCACAGAATAAAGCAAGAAAGTGTCCGAAAAGTATCCAAAAGATACCATGCTAGTTCTTCAGCGGCTTCTCATTTATGTTGTAGTTTCGTTAAGTAAAATTGGGTTGACTGTCAAACGCGACCATCAATCTTTTATGGGGGAGGTGGTCCAATCGGTTAGAGAGCGAGTTTACTGTCCAAAAGTTCCATGGGTCGAACACGACATCTGCATCTCAACAACCCCTGTCTAGGCAAACCGACAGTACCCCAGACTTCGTGCAGACTTCATGTGGTAAGGTAGTTAGGCACCAAAAGTACCCTACAGCTGAACGAATATTCATATATTATTATCCTCCCCAAATTTACGAAATGTTGAAAATGTTCTGCACTTCGGGTGTCATACGGATTAATCAGGCCACATCACATTCAGTGATGGGTGTCGGGCAAGGTTAAATGGTGTATCCGCTTCTTGCACCCAGTACTTGTGATGTCATGCTGGGTTTCCATTATTTGTGACCGGTAATAATCCGCGTTTCACTGATGCTCACTGGATTCCTGAAGCAATCGTGTAATAAATAAACGGTGGAACTGGTGTTGGAATGTCAAGGACACTAATAGGGAGGAAGATGGGGTGGATTATTATGTTTCGTTCTTTCTGCGTGTTGCCTAACCGACTCCCCTCTTCCGTTGACCGGTGGATCACAAAATCTGCAATATAGTGTCACCGCTGCCAACAGCGAATTCCCTATTCACATCCCTGGCTTCATGCTGTAATCCACGAAAAAATCCATTTTCTATGAAATATGCGTACCCTTTAATTTGCTACTACTTTGATTCTGTTCGAAATAAGTTCTGCCTTATTTGAGGGTATCCATTATTCAGCGGGTAGGGTCGGATGAATTGAACGTAAGGATGTTTTGGCCGATTACACCCAAAATCAGAGCGATATTAATGCTTAGCATCCCTGTGAGGTCCCAGCCTTCTAGCGAAAAAATGCTGCGGTAATCAAAAATGCAAAATGAGCCCAGACACGGAAAATACAGTGTAGCGCAAGCTTGAAATTGTGCGAAATTAATCAATCGGCATGCGAGGTGATAAATGTAACAGCAGTCGCTTCTGTATCACAGAATTGGACCATAGCGCATCCCTTTTTAGTGCCCAATGCGTGCTTCTAAACTGTTGGCTTGCGACAAGTAGCAGCTAAAGCATATTTTCCGGCTTGCTGTTCTCATTCCAGATGCACCAACTACCACAGGTTCAAGCGCATCCAAGTCAAATGCCGATGGTGAGATTCGTTGCATGTAACAACTGCTTCATTCAAAGTTCCATGTGTGGAGGATATATTTGGCTTGGCTTCACTCGTTTTCAGCATCCCGAGAGTGACTGGCCAATATTACTTCTCATATTCTTATTTTATGCGAGCCTAGTATTTCCAGGCTTGAGCTAGACACAACCTACGCTATTATGGCGATCTCCATTTGCAAGCTAACTATCACGTTGTCAAAAATATGTCTCACTTTGAGAAGTTTATTCACACCTCTTTTTCTCGCCTTAGCGAAGAAATTTGTCTCAAGCTACTTTTGCCAAACCCGTTTGCAAGAGATCTACCCAGTCCATTAGATGTGGTCATTGTCCTGATTATAGCTCGAAAAATGATGATAAACTTACAGATTTCACGGCACATTTAGCGTGAATGTTTGTGTGAATTAATATTTTAGTTGAGTGGTGTTGTAGATATACGAGGTGGGTGTTGTTTTAAATGCAGACGTCGACAGTGGCTACATAAGCTTCGCTGGTTGTCATTGAAAATATTAGACATTATTTGAGAGGTCTCTTCTGAATGAAAAAAAGCAATTTGGTGCGTGTCACGTGCAACGTGGGTCGTTCGAAGCCTTGTAAAGCCTTGCCAAAATTAACAGAGGGGACACTCAGAAATATACACCCTAATCTATCCAAATAAAAAAACAAATAAACATTACAGTAAATTAGGCACCGTTGCTATTATTCAGTTTCGATTATCGCATGTGAGCACATAGCTATTCCTTTAATCTTGTTGAGCTTCGGAACTATTCGCACGTGTACTAACTACTGTTACCGGACCGCTAAATATTTCCGATTCCAGCGACAAACGGCACACTATTG